AAAGGTTCAGAAGCGAGCCAGGATCAGAATAAGACCACATTCGGAACCACGTCTGGTCCAGAGTCCAGACCCAAAACAAGGTTCAGGGTTCAGTCCAGAGCCCACTTCGAATGACGTCCAGTGAATGGCAGCAACCATCAGCAGAACAACAAAAAAAAAAGAAAGAAAGAAAGAAAGACAGAACCAGGCCCCAGGTTCAGAACTTCAGAATCAGACCAAGTTCAGAACCAGGCCAGGTGCAGACCCAAAACAAGTTCAGTTCAGTGACCACTTCGAGTAGGTGATGTGCAGTGAGCAGTAGCAACAAAACCAACACAAAAAAAAAAAAAAAAAAAAAAAAAAGACAGAGACAGACAGAAGGGTCCCGAACCAGACAAGGGTGAGTAAAACACATGATAATTGTCCGGTTCAGAACCCTTCTGTCTGGTCTGGTTCAGAACCAGGCCGGGTTCTGAACCAAGTCCGCAATCGAGATCGAGATGTAGACGTGAACATTGCATTGAGGTAAAGTCAACAATCCAAGAGGCTGGGACAAGGTTCAGAACCAGGCCGGGTTCCGAACCAGACCAGGTTCAAAACCAGGACACATTCCGAACCAGACAAGGTTCAGAACCAGGCCGGGTTCCGAATCAGACCAGGTTCAGAACCGGACCAGGTTCAAAACCAGGACACGCTCCGAACCAGACAAGGTTCAGAACCAGGCCGCGGAGCCAAACCAGACCAGGTTCAGAACCAGGCCGGGTTCAGAACCAGGACACGTTTCCAACCAGACCAGGTTCAGAACCAGGACACGTTTCAAACCAGACAAGGTTCAGAACCAGGCCGTGGTTCAGAACCAGGCCAGGTTGAGAACCAGACCAGGTTCGGAACCAGGCCTCGGAGCCAAACCACACCAGGTTCAGAACCAGGCCGGGTTCAGAACCATACCAGGTTCAGAACCAGGACACGTTTCCTACCAGACCAGGTTCAGAACCAGGCCGGGTTCTGAACCAGACATGGTTCAGAACCAGGCCAGGTTGAGAACCAGGCCGGGTTGAGAACCAGACCAGGTTCAGGTTCAGAACCAGGACACGTTCCGAACCACAAAAGATTCAGTCCAATGACGACTTCAAGTTAAGTCAAATCCAGTGAGTGGTCGAGCCAACACAAGCAGCACAAGCAGCAAACAGAAAAGTTTCAGAACCAGACCAGGTTCAGAATCGGGAAGGTGCACCAATAATGGGCCTAGCTCAGTTGGTACACCAACCAACTGATGAAAATACAGACCTGGGAAAAAAAGAAGAAAAAAAAAAAAGAGACCTGATTTGTAATCCAGATGAAATACACGTGAGCAAAGGGTATATGTGGGGTTGAAGTTAGGTGTGACCACCAGAGCTGAAATACACGAATGGGCTGCGTGGGGGAAGGGATAGTCGAGGCCAATGGTCATTTGTAGATAGCAGGAAAGGAATACGGGTGGGGAAGAAAGGGGGGAGCAGAGGGGGATGGGGGGAGGAGGAGAGCGGGGCCAGAGGGGGACGGTGGGGGGAAAAGGGAGGGAGCAGAATAAAAGTTGCACACACACAAAGTGAGTCCACCCTCCTATCTCTTTGCTCGAGAAAAAAAAAAAAAAAAAAAAAAAAAAAAAACTTATACACCAGCAAGGTTTTTCAAAAAAATAAAAATAAAATACTATAGTTTCGAACTTCAAAAAACAAAAAAAGACGTTTCAACTTCGAAGTTCGAAGAACTTCGAACCCATGATCTACTTATTATCAGCAACGGTTACAGGAAGGGTGATGTACGTACGGTTGTACCATTCCTTCAGTCACAGGGAGGACAGGAAAATTAAGCCGAAGGGTTTCCAGGTTGCACCGAAGGGTCAGGGAGCGCTTCACCCACCCACCCCAGCATACACAAGGGAGGACATTTCATGGAAAGAAGTTTTCTGGGTGTCAGGGCATACTCGCACTTTACTTTTTCTGGACGTAATTGAGGTCACATACATCCACATCCGGCCGTAGATGCCGTCAGATACATTTGAGATAGTACAACTCCCCAATGTACTACTCTTGGATATACCAATGAGAAACAGATCCGTCTGCTGTAAATTCTAAACCTCTACCTCCCTTTTTCATCTCTCTCTCTCTCTCTCTCTCTCTCTCTCTCTCTCTCTCTCTCTCTCTCTCTCTCTCTCTCTCTCTCTCTCACACACACACACACACACACACCTCCTAAGTGTGGGTGAAAATCCGACGAAACAGTTTGGCACAGTCATGCTTCTTTTTGTGGAGCTGTGTATAGCGAAAATAATAACACACACACATGGACACATACACACACACACACACACACACACACACACACACACATGTACAGGGGTATCACTAACTCTGGGTGAAGTGATGAGTACTCATCTATCAGTCAAATGCATCCTGGGCAGACTGTTGGGGTTGAACCTCCTGATGAGTCGGAGAAAGTCCGATGGAACAGTCTGGCTCAGTCATGGTTTTTTTTTTTTTTTTTGGTGTTTGTGTGTGTGGAGTTGTGTATGGCAAACATGCCAACACACGTACACTTACCGATTTGCAATGGACGCCGAAGTCCTCTATCTTGTTCAGAGGGATTGTCTGGTACTCCGACGCTGGCTCATCCGGCGGTTTATACCCCTTGGGGTACGTTCGGAAAGCACCGATCTCCACTTTCCCAGCCGAGACCGTCCTCGTAGGATCAATCACGATCGCCAGGAACGGCTCCTGATATTCTTGATTCAGCATTTGCGTCGACACATCAATGCCAGATAACCAGCATCCGTATCCAGGATGGGAATGATACCAACCAACCACGTTCTCCAGCCTCCCCACCTGTATACACACACACACACACACACAAGCACAGTCAGCAGTCCATCTCTCTCTCTCTCTCACACACACACACACACACACACACACACACACAGAAGAACAGTCAGCAGTCCAACCCTCTCTCTCTCTCTCTCTCTCTCTCTCTCTCTCTCTCTCTCTCTCTCTCTCTCTCTCTCTCTCTCTCTCTCACTCGCTCGAGCATGCGCACGCGCGCTCACACACACACACAGACAGAAAGAGGAGGAGTCAGCTGTCCAACAGGGTCATGAAGACGACGCACCAGAGTCATGCATCTCTCATTCTTTTTTTTTTTCTCCTTTATTTCACAAAATGCGGATAAGCCGTTCGTTCTGAGATTCTGAGATGTAATTTCAGCTTGATTAACGAAAACCTTATCCAAATTCAGAAAAAATAAAAATAAAAAAATCAAGCACCTCTCATTCACGAAATTTCACAAAATCTCCTAAAATGTCACTAAATAGTAAATAATAAATTTCATAAAGTCAAATTTTCTGCTTCGAATCATCATCCCCAAACATGAAGGCAGCGACATTCCGGCCCAAGCCACACATACCAAGGGCCTCGCTCCACTACTCAACAAATGTGCAAAATGAGAATGCATCTTCCGCTAGAACATGGGAAGATACATTGCCATCTTTTTTGTCTTTTTTGTGCTGTGGTGAGCAGTGGAGAAATGCCCCAAGTGACATTAGGCACACCAGCAGGTACACATGTACACATACACGTAACAGAGATCATATATTTATGTAATTATAAATAATTAAAAAAAAAACAGAGGATATACATAAGAGTACATGCATCTGCCCTTTTCTCTCCTTCCCACCAATCCAGGGCTTCACCGGGCGCTCTTTTCTGGCAATATACACTTAACATATGTATACACACAGCGTATCTGGGCTGAACAACGGGAAAGGGGGGGGGAGGGCTGCCCCGGGGAAGAGAGGAAGGGAGGACAGGGAGTGAGGGGGAAGAGGGAGCGACCGTGCCCCTACCGTCTTCCCCCGAACATAACGCACCCTAAAAATTGATGTATACAAGCTACGTCTCCGACCCGGTACAGTCAACATGAGGGTGCGTTATGTTCGGGGGAAGACGGTAGTGTCATCTGGATTTCCCCACCAAATGCAAAAATGACAAAACCACACTTTGGCCCCCGACTTTGATGGTTGGATGCCCTAATTTTTTCCCCTTCTTAACGTTCGGATAAAAACCCTAAATTTGTTTTCTTCTTAATATATTCAGATACCCTAATTTTTTCTTCTTGGTCCCACAGTGGGCCGGAGTGGCACAAGGGCCGTGTGACCAAGGCCGGGACCACGGTTGAAACGTACACGGCGCCGCACAGCAGCCTTTATCAGACGATATAAAAAAACTGCCTGCCTGGGACGGACGGGATCTCTCTCTCTCTCTCTCTCTCGCGCGCGCGCGCGCTGTTTTCCGTTTCCTTCTTTTTGGGTCCCGATGGACCGCGGATCAGATATGAAACTGATTGGTGCAGATAATACACTTGACAGCAGGTCGTAGGTTGTCCCTCTCTCTCTCTCTCTCTCTCGAGAAGGGCTGAGATAAGTGAATGTGCATATATACATATATACATAAGACGATATATATATAGGCATATCTGTCACATATCTACAAATTAAGAGCGCCTTTGACAGGGAGGGAGGGAGAAGGGTGGAGAGAGAGAATAGGAAGACGATGACCAGATCTACAAACAAGCTTTGCAGCCTTCTTCATTTCTTTTTTTTTTGTTGAGAAATACTCACTAAGAATGCCCGAGGGAAATACCCAATGGTACCAATGGTACCAATGGTTCCAATAGAAATGCAAGAGGAAAAAAAGGAGTACGCAACAGAACAGGACGCACCGATGGCGGGAGCTCCGTTCATTCCCTTCTCCTCTTTTTTCTAGCTGTCATTTGATTCTTTTCTTTTTGTCTTAATTTCTCGGCTTGATTTCCTTTTCCCTTTACGTAGGGTCCAAGCCTCCCCCCCGCAGGGCAGGGAGATATCATCCCTCATCGCCCATGTTCGCAACAGAAATCAAACTACTTTTTTAGGAAAATTCCTTCTCATCGTCCATCCCATCAGAGCCATGCATTCCACCTAACCTACCATTCGCCACATCAAGACCCTTCATCATTAAATTCCTTTTTTAGGAAAGATATTTCTCATTACCACCGTCTGCGTCTACATCGTCCCCATCATACTCACCACATTTCATCGCTGACGTGTCCTCCTCCTCCTCCTCCTCCCACATTTCATCGCTGACGTGTCCCCCTCCTCCTCCTCCTCATCATCATCATAACTGCTGACATCATCATCCTCACAATCAAAGACTGCTGACGTCATCCTCCTCATCATCATCACCGCGCACGTCAGCAGTGAAAATGTCATCATCATCATCATCATCAACCTCCTCGTCATCACCGCTAACGCCAGCAGTGATGACGTCATCCTTATCATCATCATCATCATCATCATCATCATCACCGCTGACATCATGACGATCCTCACCATCATCAGCACCGTCGTCATCATGTCATCATCATCATCATCATCATCAACCTCCTCGTTATCACCGCTAACGTCAGCAGTGATGACGTCATCCCTATCATCATCATCATCACCGCTGACATCATGACGATCCTCACCATCATCAGCACCGTCGTCATCATCGACGCTCCAAACGCGACCAGGTTCTGTTCACACAACAGCTCACCAACGTGCATGCGCTGCTAGAGCAGCCCGCACCATCACTGTCTTCTTCCCGCCAAAACGTTGAAACGTAATCAATTCTTCTTCCCGCCAAAACATAGAAATGTAATCAATTCTTCCCGCCAAAACATAAAAACGTAATCAAAATTCTTCTTCCCGCCAAAACGTAGACATGTAATCATTTCTCTTCCCGCCAAAACGTAGACACTTGTATTTTGTCTTTTGTGTACCTACGAGCGGAGTAACATTATATTAGTTTTTTCTTCTTCCCGCCAAAACGTAGCCATGTTATCATTTTTCTTCCCGCCAAAACGTAGACACTTGTATTTTGTCCTTTGTGTACCTACGAGCGGAGTAATATTATATTAGTTTTATCGACTTTAATTATAGCTGTCCTTTTCCGGGTATTGCGCTCAAACTGCACCGTCTCTTGTCATTCTTCATTATAATGTACTGTTTTTTTTTTTCTCTTTTTTTTTTCTCTTTTTTAATGGTGCTCTCTCTAGCCGTAGTGCCATTGAGCAGACGTTGGCTTTGCGAAGTACAGAACGTTTTTTTTTCCCCTTTTTTTAATCACTGAGAGTGTTGTGTTCGAATAATACAAGTAACAAACACGCCGTTCGCGGAAGAAGATGCGTTTTGAGTTTTTCTTACAGAGGGGAATGGCATAACAGCACAAAAGTCTACCATGTATCTGGAGTCCATGACGGTCGAGCTACATACAAATCAGAATCGACGGTCGACGAGCGTTAGGAACAGTTTTCATTTGATTTGACGTGATCTATTTTGATTTTCTGATTTGATTTCTGATTTGTAATTCCATATGAATTGCTTGCTGATATCATGTGATCTGATTTGATTTCTGTTTGATGTCCGATTTCAGGTGTTTTCAGTTGATTTGATTTGTGATTTGATTTCTGATTTCATTTGGTATCTGATTTGACGTGATGTGATGTGATTTCGGATTTCGGATTTCGGATTTCGGATTTGATTCCATGTGATTTCAGATTTGATTTGATTTGATTTCATGTGATTTCGGATTTGATTTGATTTGCGATTTGATGAAACATCCTGATTTGTGCCATCAAATCACAAATCAAATCAGATCACACACTGGCGTGTAATTCTCTCCTACCGCCGTCTCGATCATCGTCGATCTGACATCCCTGTTGATTTCTGTTTTGAGTTAATTTATGTTTTGACTTAATTCCTGATTTGATTTGAATTTTCAGATTTGATTTGATTTTTCAGATTTGATTTGATTTTTCAGATTTGATTTTTCAAATTTGATTTGATTTTTCAAATTTGATTTGATTTCGATTTGAGTTGTTCAGATTTGATTTGATTTCGGATTTACTTTGATGGAACACCTCAGTTAAACACTCGTACATATGTATCCACACACAAACACATTCTCGAGGCATTGGGACTCGCTCCACTACACCACTCTACGTGTATCGGGAGCTCATGGCGGTCCGGATACATTCAAAATGTTCGGAATCCTACGAACGAACCTGGTCCAGAAAGGCATCCCAATGCATGTTGAGGAGTTCGGGCATGCCTAATGTGATTACTCTCCGTATGCGTATGAATACAAATTGTACTAAAATTATTAAATCAATAGATTAAAGATAAAAAAAGAAACATTATAGTATTAAAATCGAGGTAGAGTATATACAAAGATTTGATTAAAGATCGGAAATGAAAAACTACAATATTAAAATCGAGGTTGAGTATATACAAAAGTATTAACAAACATATATATCTGGCTACGATAGTATATTCAATTACATATATAGAATATATAGAATTATATCACATACTCCTATACATTGTATTCTATTTAATTATTTTAATTAAATTCTATACGTATATATCACATAGGGAATTGCTGCCTGACGTAAACCCCCTCTAGTAAATTACCTACAATAGAATGAAGGTCATCGATCCAGCAACGGATTCGTCGATTGATTCGATTGGAGTGCTTGATTGATCGATTAATTGATCGACAGATCAACTGATTTATTCATCCACCAACTGACTCTGATTGTTCGATCAATTAATCAGATTCATCAATTTTTTGATCGAACTGCTTGATTGATGGATGGATTGATTGATTGATTGATTGATTGATTGACATATTTGATTGATTGAATGATCGACAGATTAATTGTCTCATCGATCGATTGAAAAATCGATCTGCCGACTGATTTGATTGATCGATCGCTTAATTGATTGGTTTGATTGATCGGTGACTTAATTGATTGATTTGATTGATCGATCGATTAAATGATTAATTGGCAGATTTGATTGATTGATTGACATATTTGATTGACTGATTGATTGATTGATTGACATATTTGATTGATTGATTGACATATTTGATTGATTGATTGACAGATTTGATTAATTGATTGACAGATTTGATTAATTCATTGATCGGCTGATTGATTTACTGACCATCCCACGAACAGACCTACCCACAACAGAGTAAAGAGAACTGTAGAGTCTGTCCAATTAGCTAGCCCATGAAGCTCTGGCTCAAACCACCTTTTTTTTTTTAGCACATTCTCTGATGAGGTAAGATACAACACTCATCCCGTGGCTCGGAAAGCCAAAGGTGATTCCCATCATCCCCGGTTCGTCAAAGCCCCGCGAAGAGGAGGGGGGGAGAAGCACGGGTGGGTGGGGAAAGGGAGGAGGGAAAGGTGGTGATTAGGGGGGGGGGGGGGGGGGGGGGGGGGGGGGGGGGGGGGAGGGGTGGGAGTAGCGGGTTTGACGATCTTGGACATGATAACCAATCAGTTGGACAGACGGAACGAACAAATATACATAATATATGCATATCCATATACATATACTATATTGATATTCATACACATATATATATTATGATATTGTCCCATATCTTTTCCTATTGCCTTTCCCCCTTTGTTTAGGGGTATTTTGTTTTGCGGACCTACTGTATGGTTCCGT